TTCTGATATTTTTGTCTCTTAGTTGCTTGCTTGCATTTGCTCTACTTCTTTCTCTGTTAATCTAAATGGGAATGTGGGTGGGTTCTGTACTCGGATTAAGGCGGGTCCCCCTATCTTTTCCTTATTCTTTCATAGGCCTTCTCTAACCAAATCAAGTGTGCTAATCTTAGAAAAGAGTTCTCAGGCCTGAAAATTTCCAAACACACTCCTTGTTTAACCCATCTCTTTTTTGCAGATGATTCTATCATATTCTGCAAAGACAATACTGATAGTGCCAGGACAATTCTGAACATTTTGGAAAGTTATGAATTATCCTCTGGGCAAGTGGTTAATCTAAAAAAGTCCTCAGCTTTTTCCTCTAAAAACTCCTCTGAGAGGTTTAGATTTGAGGTCAGCCATAACCTGAATGGTATATCTTGGGTCTCATCCTCTAAATACCTAGGGCTTCCTTTAGATATAGGGAGAACTAAAAGAGAGGTTTTCATATATGTCAGTGAGGCTGTGAGTAAAAAACTTCAAAATTGAAAAAATCTGTTCTTGAGTGAAGCTGGGAAAGAAGTGCTTTTCAAATATGTGATTAGTGCTATTCCCACTTATGTGATGTCTTGTTTCAAAGTTCTTGTGTCTATTTGTAAAGATAATTGTAAAAATGTTGCTAATTTTTGGTGGAGCAAAACAGATAAAGGGGGGAATAGGATCCATTAGGCTTCTTGGGGTAAATTGGCTAGGCCTAAAGGGAAAGGAGGGTTAGGATTTAAAGACCTGAGGGTGTTCAATGAGTCCTTGATTATGAAACAACTTTGGAGAATCCTTACTTGTCCTAATCTTCTGATGAGCAGGATTATGAAGGGGAGCTACTTATATCATAAAAATATGAAGGAGGTGAGTGCTAGGAGTGGAGATTTTTGGCTATTGAGGAGTTGGTTAGGAGTGAGAGAGGGTTTCAACCGAGGACTGAGAGTGCAAGTGAGGAATGAGAGAAAAACTTCTATTTGGGATGATCCATGGTTACTTGGTAATCCTAATTTCAAACCTGGGGTTAGTTTTATTAGGGATAGGGAGAAGCTTAAGTGGGTGAGTGTCTGATGATAGAGAGTGGGAAAGAATGAGATAGGGACCTAGTGTTTCAAACCTTTAATCCTAGAGAAGCCTCTGTCATTGTGAATATGCCTTTGATTCAGGTTGGGTTGAGTGATAGATTAGTGTGGCATTGGGAAAAATCTGGGATGTTTACTGCCAAATCTGCTTATCATATGTTGTTGAACAATCAAGAGAGAACTGGAAAAAGTTGCATTTCTGAATCTTCCAACAGGTTTATGCACTACTGTGGACAAATCATGGAAACTACCAATTAAACAGAAGCTGAAAATCTTTGTTTGGAAATGCTGGAATGAATTCCTCTGTACAAATACTCAAGCAGGTAAGAAAGGGATCATAACAGATGTAATTTGTGATGCATGTGGGGAGGAGGCAGTGGATCAAAATCATATTTTCTTCATATGTCCAAAGGCTCAGATATGCTGGAAATTACTTAGTGAGTTGGACTATACTTGAAGGAGAGAATAAGGATTTTAGATCATGATGGGGAGAAGTATGTTCAGCAAAAAAATGTAATCAACTTATAGAGAGGATATGCCTGTCAATTCATATGCTGTGGGCTCTATGGAAGGCAATAAATGCATGGAAATTCAAGAAAGAAAAAAAGTGGGAGAGGAAGATTGTGCAAGAAGCTAGAGAGGAGTGACAAGAATTTACTATGGTGATGGATAGGAGCGCTGATCAGGAGGAGATGAGTCTAGAGAAAAACCAATCAACCTTGAGGGCCAATTTTCCCAGGTGGTAGGGCAGAGAAACTTCTCAGTCAGTGCCACAGGACCTCAAGTAGATAGATGGGTTTTGAAGTGTGTTGCTGCTGAAGGCTTAGAGGTAGTACATGAATGGACATCCCAGATTTTTATTGAAGGACAACAAAAGGAGGCTAACTGCTTGGCTCTGAGATGGGGATTACAAAAAATTCAAGAACTGTCATTGATATAGGATATTATACTAGACTGGGTTTAATGGATACAACGAATACATATTGGAGGATAAGCCAACGTACGGATTAAGACATAGAACATAAAAATATGGGTCAAGCCCAACTTGAGCCCAAAAAGGTACACTTCCCCTATAAAAGAGGGGCTAAGGTATCACATGCTCTCATTGTCTCTATTCTCTATTCATTTCATTACTACTCTCTCTCTCTCTCTCTCTCTCTCTCTCTCTCTCTCTTGATCTGAGCACTGACTTAGGCATCGGAGGCCCGACGCCGGGATCCCCCGACGTTGGGTTCTTGCAGGTGCGGAGGCCGTTCGAGTTGAAGGAGCCCGGGTGAAATCTATTTCACTTCATGGACTAAGGTACTGTGTTAAGTCTTTAATTGAGTTATGGCATGGGGTTTCACATTTTACCTTTCGTTCGTGCTAGTAAGCTGTTGTTAAAAGGTTGTTAACAACGATGATTAAGTTGGAATATTGCGATAATATAAGAAAATTGAATGATTATCAGACATTCAAGATGTCGGAACGAATAGTAATTGAAGTTGTCATATATCATGATTTTAGAATGTTCGTTAATGGATCCTTCAAAGTCCAAAAGATCCTATTACAAATGATCGGATCAGCTATTTATAGAGCGGTTGACCCACCGTACGAAGTATGTGTGATCGCATTTAATGTAAAGTAGGTTTTCAGAGGCGGTTTGTCTGCCAGCTGGATGACTATCATGATGAGTGGATGAGTCATCGCCGCCTCAACTCTTGAAAGTCAACTGTCTGCAGACCTCGGTTGATATACCTCGATTGGAAGGCTTCTCATCACCTAAAGACCTCGGTTGACACAAAGAA